TTTCTTAAATTCTCTTGACCTTGGTTTCCTCATCTAATGGAGAAAATAACTGCTGCCCTGCCCAACTGCAAAGAACAGAAATAATTAATGTATGATGTTACATGCCTATTAGAATTCCAAAAAAGGGGATAGCGTTATCAAACTCCACTAAATGACTAGGGAAGAAGGGTTACTATTAGAATAGAATGATATTAGTAGGACTTAAAAACTGGGAAAGTTTTCATGAAAAAGGTGATACTGACAAGCTAGATCTTGGATAATGGGATTTAGGGGAAAAAATGAAAGGAGATACAGTCCTGTGTTTGATTACAGAGAAGTGAAACTTGTGGGAAGAGAAATGGAATCTTTAGCAGGGAGGGACAAAGAAAGGATGGTAATCATGATGATAACACAGGAAAAATAAGTGCGGATGGTAAAATATTTTAGACTAAATCAGGCTGCTAAACTCCAAAATCTCTAACAGAGAAAACTAGGTTTGGCTTTATAAACTATAATATTGAGGAAACACTTACCATGTTTCACAATTTAGGAACAGACATAAAGAAAAATAACAAATCTTTCAGTGCTCAACCCTATAGTTAAAAACAATTAGATGGATTAGGAATATTCTTAAAAGGCCATATGCTTCATGCTTATGACCCAGATTCCCAAGTCAAACAACATCAAGGAAATGCTATTAAAATACAAGACCCTTGGGGCGCCCGGGTGGCTCAGTGGGTTAAAGCCTCTGCCTTCAGCTCGGGTCGTGATCCAAGGTCCTGGAATTGAGCCCCGCATCGGGCTCTCTGCTCAGCGAGGAGCCTGCTTCCTCCTCTCTCTCTGCCTACTTGTGATCACTGTCTGTCAAAGACCCTTTTATAGAATCTGAAGAAAGTAAAGCGGGCAAATACCAAAACTTCCTAAGTGTGCTCCACTGGTGAGACCTATGGGTAAGCCCCAGGGGCAGGGGCCAACTGAGGGTGGGGGGTTGCGACCCGCTCCAAGTAATGGCCAAGTCAATTATGTAAACTTACTTAGTATTTCTTTTTGGAATGAAAATGAAAAAAAAAATGGTCTGTAATAAGTCTGTCAGGATTGTGAAGTGCACATATTCCTTAGCTTTGTTCTGAAGGAAGTAGATCTTATTAGAGTCCTATAATAAGTTTTGGATTTAAGCAAATGTTTAATTGAATTATACATAATGAGGAATCAAGAGCATGTGTGACTGAATTTCAATATTCCAGTATAGGAACTTTGATACAATCCCTTCCAAGGGATTTGGTAGATTTAGTATTTAGTATTCACAGTGCTATACATAAAATGGTATACTGGTGACAGTTTTTAGTAATAAACACTAGTGCATGGGGTCCAAGGCAGACAGACTAAGCAGTACAGTTTAGAAAGGAAACAAAATCTGAAGTTTTATGAAGAAAGGAGGAAATAAAAGACCTGCATATTTTAAGAGAAATACTTCATTATGGTATGTGTTTGGTAAATGAGGAATAGAAACATGCACTTTACATAAACCAATAGTAGATTAAATGTAGATTAAAATTCAGATCCAAAATCAGGGAAAAAACTTCATCTGAACTTAAATGTTGTTCCACTACTAGCAAGCAGTAGACTAGTGGACCAGTGTGCCGACATAATTGAAGCTTGGCTTAATGCAAAGCAAAAATCTGCTTCTAACTGGATATAGTTCTTTATTATATATATAAACATATTAAAGTGCAGTTGACACTAGTTTCCAGTGTGCAACATAGTGATTCCACAACTCTATCTTATGCTGTGTTCACAAGTATAGCTACCATCTGTCACCACACTGTCACACGGTGCTATTACTGTACCACTGACCATATGCCCTATGCTGTACTTTCCATCTCCGGGACTTTTTCATTCCATTACTGGAAGCCTGTACCTCCTACCAGTCATTTTGCCCATCCCCTCCAGCCCCTACCCCTCTGGCAACCACCCGTTTGTTCTAACTGGATATGAGCTATTTAAATTTTATTTCTGTTGCCTCATGTTGTTCGGGCAGCATAAATTTGAGAGGCACTCTGGTAACAAATGCCTTGCCTTGTAGACTTTTGGTCTATGACTTAATATGTTAACCTATATTTAGGTCTTTAAATATTTAAGAATTCTCCAAAGCAAAACAAATTAAGCATTCTCAAGAGCTAGCAAATATGGGTAAATATTTATTGTGTAAATATTTATGGTCTCAGAAAGATAGGTTTCTGAATTTATGTAAAAAGCTCTAATTGCCAATGGGTTAAAACTGAATATATGAAATGCATATCCAGTTTCAAATGCCAGTGTATTTCCTTTTTTAATGTTTCTAAATTTCTTAAACGTTCACTGGGGGAAACAAAGAGTTTTATAAAGATAATAAAAATAAATACCAATACGGATGTTGAGAATGAGAAGGAACAGATTCGTAAAATGTTTCTTCATATTAAAATTCTTCCACATATTTATTCATTTGATAGACACCTGTGAATGCCCAGTGAACAGCAATGCCCAGGAAGTCACTGGGACTATTATAATGGTGAACAAGGCGTAAGTCCTGGCCTGAGCTGCAAACATTTATGGTCCAACTGTGAGGGGTGTGTGTGGTTTCTTGCAAAAAGGAATTTAAGTGCCTGGAGCATGGGATGAGGTGGGGTGAGTGATGGGTAAGGGATCAGAGAATTGGTATAAGCAAGAGACAGTCCCTATACATACAGAGACTTATGGGGACATTAGAATAAAAACCTCACATTTCATCTTTTAGAATCCAAACTGTAAACTCATACATATAATGAAGAAATTCTGTTGCTAAAGAGAAAGTCTTTTCGTTTTAATAAAAATGGACTTGAAGTAGCTTCTTGGAGTTTTTTCCTGTCTTAGCCACTTCCAAATACTGTTTTGAGGTATGGTCCACACATTTGCACATAAACACCTCTGTTAGGTTTATGCTTCAGACAGTGGTAAGTGCTGCTCTTAGTGGATGCTGAAATTAACATGCCGTGACCTGAACAGCATGGACGATACAGTGGAAGGCATAAATCACAGCACGACCTTTGGGGGAGCTACTTGGACATGACTCCATCTCCGTCAGGAGACATCTTCAAGCATTAGCCCTTAGATTCCCTGCCTGCCTCCTTTCTACCATGCTCTGTTGTTTAGGTTTCTTCATTAAACTAAAAGCACTGCTGTGAAGATTTCCAACTGGGGAGAGAGCTGGGAGATGTTTGGGTTGAAAGGTGGGTTAAGGCTCTAAAGCACTGAGGGACAAGAAGGAGTGCTGCTTAGGAAAGGAGAATTCCTTTTATCTTTTCCATGTACTTTTTCAAGGCCTTTGGGGAAGGAAAGAACCACATAGAGATTACTTATAATAGCAAAAATATAACCATCTACACTTTCAAACACAAATGATAGCATATATAAAAAGAGGAAAAATAAAAATGAAACTATAGATGAGAAAAATATTCTCTTACCATAATATGTAAGATACTCTGCTGTGTGTAAAAATGTCAGTGAAACCAGAACGTTGAAAATCCAATTTATTCCAGATGAACATGCATTTCCTGTACTTCTTGCCCAAAGGGGATATATTTCAGAATTCACAGTCCAAGGCATTGGTCCCATTCCTGAGAAAAATGAAACTAAAAATTTCAGTAAAGTAGTCTAAAATCTGAAAAAGAGTAGTTTGTCCCCTCTAAAAAGAGACACTTTAATTAATACAACACAAAGCCTTTGTTTACCAGGTGCGAAGAAAACAAGATATAAAATAAGGCCCAGAAGTGCAGTCCAGGAGTATGGTGTAGGGCAGAAATTGTAAGCCCAAAATACATCTTCTGTTTTAAATTTGGTTTCATTCTCACACCTGAAAAATATAGCAATAAAAATAATGTTTTAGGTTATAGTTACAGAAATTTAATGTGTATATCCTGGATATATCTGAAAGTTCCTTAATATCATTAAGGAAAAGGGTCCAAGATGTTTTTCTTGAAAAAAAAAAAAAAAAGATTTAAATATACAGTATTAGCTATAAACCTCACATAGAACACTTTCGATCTGAATATAACTCAAGAGAAAAATACACTTGTGTGTGCAACTCACAGCCTAAAGCAAAAAACAATCCAATTTAAAAAATGGTCAGTGGTGTGCACCTGATTGAGCGTCTGATTCTTGGTTTCGATTCAGGTCATGATCCTCAGAGTTGGCTCAGCTCTCAGGGTCCTGAGACTGAGCCATGCGAGTCAGGCTCCGCGCTCAATGGAGATTCTCTCCCCCTCTCCCTCCTCCCTCCCCACTCACTAAAAATAATCTTTTAAAAAAATGGTCAGAGGATCTAAGTGGACATTTTCCTAAAGGAGACATATAGATGACAGGTACAGAAAAAAGTGTTCAACCTCATTAATCATCAGAGGAATACAAATCAAAACCAAAATAATGAAATATCACCTCCCACCTGTTAGAATGGCTACCATCAAAAAGATGAATAACAAGTGTTGGTGGGGATGTGGAGAATGAGGAACCGTTGTGCACAAACTGTTGAGAATATATATTGGTACAGTCACTATGAAAAACAGGATGGAGGTTCCTCAAAAAATTAAAAACAAAACTACCATATGATTCGGCAAAACAACTTCTGGGTATTTATCTGAAGAAAATGAAAGCACTAACTCGAAAGATATATCTACCTGCATGTTCACTGCAGCATTATTTACAATAGGATATGAAAGCAACCTGAGTGTCCACTGATGGATGAATGGATAAAGAAAATGTGTGTGTACGTATACACAAACACACACATACACACCATTAGTCAGCCTTAAGGGATTTTTGCCATCGTAATAATATGGATGGACCTTGAGGGCATTATGCTACCTGAATTAATACCATATGATCTTGTATATGCAATCTAAACAAAAATACTGAGCCATGTCATAGATACAGAGAACAGATTTGTGGTTGCTGGGGCACGGAGTTTAGAGAATTGAAATGGGTCAAAAGGTACAAACTTCCAGTTAAAGAATGTCATGGAAGGTAATGAACTGCATGGCAACTAAAGTTAATACTGCACTGCATGTCTGAAAATTGCTAAGAGAGTACGTCTTAAAGGGTCTCATGACAAGAAACATTTGTAAATAATTTATGATGATGGACGTTTAATGCCAAATCATGTGATCTACCTGAAACTAAATACGATGTTACAGGTTAATAATATACCTCGATAAAAAAACACATTCTGTTTTATACCCACTTTGTATAAGTCAGGCATGATTTCCAGTTAGTCCTTGAAAGCTATAGTAAACATTTTAAGACTACTGAGAGTCTGTCTGTTGTGGTAGAAAGAACTCAGAATTTGCAATGAGGACAAGATTCAAATTCCCAAACCAGATTTTTTTTTTCATCATCTGTGAAATGGGGATAATGCCTTACAGGTAATTTTAAGGATTAAAAGGGTCACTTGTAAAGAGGTGACTGCGTAGATGTGAGAAAGGAAAAATGCTCATATCTGATCCCAGCTAACACTTTCCCTTCCTGCTGCATGCCCTTGCTTCCGTTTCTGTCACTCTCTGGTGACTCTGCCTCCTAGTTCCTTTGTGAAGCAAAGTCTCCTCTGGTCTTAGATTGACTTTCACATTGAACTTCCAATTCTTTACCTTAATTGAAAAATTGCCCGTGAAGACACAACAAGCCTCAAAAACATTCTTGCCCTCGTTGTCATTTTTAGACTAGTGTTCTGCCTCTAATGACCTCTATGTTTGAACCTTAACATCTAAGCCCTGTCCTTGCTGATCTGTTTATGACCTCCATCATAATAACCCACCTTGTCTTCCTGAGTTGGATGCCCGGTCAGTCATATCCTCCATCCCCCCCTCACATCCTCTGCCACAGTTTATTTTTACTTCTGGCCCATATAATACTTTGGCCTCATCATTCTTTATTTAGCCTCTGAAACTGCAAGAGGAGGGCACTTTATAGTTTGCTTGATTTGGAATTATTTTACTTCAAGGTCTCGGCATCCCTTTTCTGATAAAAAAGCATTTTATTTCCTTATTTTTGATAACTTCCTCCATGCCCAAATCATAATCTTCAGATTTTGAGCTCCCGTCAGTATTCACCTAACCTCATCATTCAATGTAGACCATGCCAATACACTTCACTGGCCTAGAATCCATTTTTCCTTCCTTCATGCTTATCTGCCATCCACACGATGTCAGTTTCCAACACTGTGCAGTACCATCTAACTGCCTTCAATTACCACTGGGCTAAACTTTGGTCAACTGTTGCATCAGTTAATTAAAATATTTGTTGTTATCTCCAGTACTGAGGTCTTTCCCTTTTTTTCACTACTGTGAACTTGGGTGGTACTTTAAGAAGAAAATGGAGGATGTTCAATTTGAACATCCTCAATTTTACTCTCTTGAACCTCTTGTTTTCCTGCATTTTCTTTCAGGGCTCTTCTCCTCCACCTCCATTAGTAACATGTCTCTTGCCTTTTCTAAGGACCTGCACCTCCTCCTTGTTCTGTCTCTGCTGGGGTCACTTTCCATCAGTAGTCTATCTCTTTCTGCCATTTTCATTTTTTCTTCCAACATGAGTCTTCACCTTCTATTTTATGACATACAAGATTGCTGCTACCTAATTATTCAACCCCTCTCATATGACATTAGTTCGTCTGCAATTATGGAGAAATTTATACTGGTGAACTCTTCATCCTTACGCCCCACTCTTTCTTTCCTAACCCAGTTCCCCCATCTACCCATGGGCCAGCTGACTCACACAGTCAGGCTGTTTTCCTGGGTCTACTTACCCAAAAGTTAGACCACCTAACCTTGATTCTGAGGTTCTTTGATTACTTTATGGTGGTTGATAGTGCTGACAACCCTTTTTTCTTCTTTCCCCTTTGCATTTTCCAGTTATATCTCCATCTTTTCTGATACATATGTCTTCACTGCTTTTTAAAGTGTCTCTTCCTTCCCTCAACCTCTAAATACAGGTGTGTTCTAAGGTTCTGTTATGAGGTCTGTCCTTTGTCCCTTAAACAGCCCATCTAATTTTAATTAATTTTTTAAAAGACTGCCACATGCAGTGCTTCATTGGATGTGTCTGGAGTTCTGGAATTTTTTTTTTTTTTTTTTTTAAGATTTTATTTATTTATTTGTCAGGGACAGAGGGAGAGAGAGCGAGCGAGCACAGGCAGAGAGGCAGGCAGAGGCAGAGGGAGAAGCAGGCTCCCCGCTGAGCAAGGAGCCCGATGCGGGACTCGATCCCAGAACCCTGGGATCATGACCTGAGCCGAAGGCAGCCGCTCAACCAGCTGAGCCACCCAGGCGTCCCTGGAGTTCTGGAATCTTGATGACCCTACATTCTCCTACAAATTGAACTCGAAAGCTCTTTTGGAGGTTCTAACAGGTGCGCAGCTTCTCCTATACCCTTGATGGAAGAACAGTATCTGGGAAGGTCATCCTTTTTGAGTGTACAGCACAGGAGGGATGCACATGGAAGGGGGAAGGAGGGGACACCTGTCTAGTAGCCAGATCAGCCAAATCAACGCTGGCGATCAGTGGGGTGACATATCACTGCTAGATTACCTCTGCACCCATCTCATCTAATTTTAAAGATGATAATCTCCACATGGATGCTCCCTGATAGTTAACTCTAGCACTGACTTTTTTCTCATGCTCCATTGATGGAATTTAGGTATCTGCTGAATATCTGTTATTATCAGAGGCTGTTGGAACATTAACTGTGTCATGCATACTAAGTGCTTAGCACGTAGTGTATGCATAGTATTAGTGTAATAGTGCCTCTCGTGACATTTCTTTTTTGATAACACCACCATTCCCTGAGTTGAAATGCGTTAAACACTTGCAGTTTATCTTCAATATTTTCTTACCCATCTTTCTTTAAATCCCCTATACTTTGAAGACCAATTAAAGAACAGTGGCTAGGACTATGAGCTCTGGGACTGACATCCTATGTTCAAATCTAGGTTGGGACACCCAGATTTGAAGCTGGGATATTTGTAACTTAGGTACTTAACTTTTCAAAGCCTGTGTCCTCATCTGTGAAATAAGGATTTTCCTGGCACCTACTCAAAACAGCTATTTAGAGGATTACATGAGATGATATATGCAAAAAAACTTAACATAAGGTGGGTAAGAATTCATAATTATATTGCCTAGATATAGTTTCTTGAATCTGATTATTCTTTTTTGTGTGTGTTAATACCACCCTAATTCAGACTCTGTTGATCTCATCAACTGCATTTGTCTCTAGCAGATTCTAGAGCAGTCTCTCCATGGTCCACTTCCTAATATGCATACTCTTCTCTAGTCCTCTCTCCTTGAGTGTGGGAGTGACCCATGACTTGTTTCTAACAGAATGTGGCAGAAGTGACAGGACATACGTGATTATGTAAGATGACAGTGCTGCTCTGCTGAAGTCTCTCAAACTCTTGCTGGCTTTGAAACAGTAAGCTGTCGTGTTGTGGGATGACAATGTTGGGATGCTCATGGAAGGAATGGAGGGATGTCTTTAGGAGCTGTAGACAGCCTTTGATTGACAGCAAGAAACTGAAGTCCTTGGTACAAAAGTTACTGAATTCTGCTAACAAAATCTTCCCTAGTTGAGCCTCAGATAAAACCATGGCCCAAGTCAACGCTCAGTACTCTTGTGAGACTCTAGGTAGGGGGACCTAGCTAAGCTGTGCTTGGAATTCTGGCCCACAGAAACCGGGGTATAATTAATCTGTGCAATATAATTAATCTGTGCAATATTATTATAGCACCAATAGAAAATGAATATAGTCTCCTACTGATGTGCCCTGCATTTAGCATTACTTTCTTCAAACCACTGCCCCACCAAGTTGAGCTCTTGAAAACATTGCTCTGGCCACCTTATTGCTCAAAAACCTTTAACTCCCTTATCCCAATTGCCCATATAATGGGGCCTGCAAAATTTGGCTGGAGCCTACCTTATCTTATACTCCTATATACAATCCTTTTCTCTGACTAAATTATACTACTAATTTTTTAAGCCAGCTTTCCAGACCTGTATGAATGTATGTTCTACTCATGACATTTCGTCTAACTGAAAGCAAACTCTCACTCTTGATCTCCACTGTCACAATCAAGCTCAGCCTTAAAGGTGAGTGCAGATGTCACCCACTCACCTGCAATACTCTCTCCTCTCAATGGGTTTTCATTTTCCTCACCTACATCATTATCACATAAGTGCTCTGTACTATCCTATCTGTATATCCTCCCCCTTTTACTGTCCTGGACTCTTATCTGAGGCAGCACAGCACAAAAGTTAAGTTAAGGTCTAGAGCTGGGCCGCACGGTTTTGTATCTCAGTTCTGTTACTTACCAGCTGTGTAACTTTGGGCAAATTAGTCAACCTCTTTGTACCTTGGTTTTCTAATCTATGAAAGTCCCTAATAAATTTGTTACAAAGATTATATACAGTTATAAATGTATGGCACAAAGAAAGTGATTTAAGTGCTTGTTAAAAGAACAGCAAGTTTTGTGTTCCCCACCAGTGTTTTCTTAGATCTCCACCTCTTGTTCATACTAGTATTCTCTATGGGCATAAATGAAGCCTTTGCACTGAACTGTGAGTAAAAAACAGCATTAGAAATGCCCTGATCAATAATCTTGCATCTTCATTTCCCACCAATCAAAGAGTCTTTTGAGTTATGAAGATCCTAAAATGAGAAAATAAGAAAGAGGACAGAGAGGAGTGAAAAAGGCAGGCAGGTTCCTTGAGAGGGAAATATTTACAAATATTCAAATCACTGAAATCTGCTGAAAAATTCTGTTCACCATTTTCATTATTACCAAAGTCACTTGCCAGATCTCTTTTGCTGGAACAGTGGAAAGCAGCATATTTTAGGGTGAGCTCTGTGCTTGGTGTGATGTAGCTTTTCACTGTTTGGCTAGGCATGTCTGTGTGCGTAAAAGGACGAGCAACTCCTCGTCATCCTCATGCTGAGTTTAGGAAAGTGCTGCAGGCTCTGACTTGGCAAGTTATACACTCAGCGATACACGGATGGCTAATGACTAAGACTGTGACATCACCTGACCTTTAGAATATAAACACTAGAAATCCCAACTAAAAGATAAAAATATATATTCCAAATGTTACTGCAAAATACCCTCATGTTTTCCTGGCTAAGTGACTGGAAGGGTGGGGGAGGGGAGGAAGAACATCACGCTCTACAGAAAGAACAAAAAACTTGGACATCAGTGTGTGGGTTAGGAATAGAAAAAGCCACGCTCTTTGACGGGACACAGCACACTCTAGAGCAAAACCAGAAAGCGCGAGAAGATCACAGGAGCTGAGCAGAGAGGCTGTTGCAGCGGACAAAGCAGTGGAATTGTGCAAGCCGGCCAAACAGTCTCCCTTCACCAGAGACCGAGGGCTACTTCAGAGAGGGCGCGGACGAACACCTGCCACGTAGACCATAAATGATCGGTTTGCTGTTCCAGTCACAGAACCCACAGTGCTGCCTCTAATAATGCTTCTGGAAATTAACAGCTCTCTTTGAAGGCAGAACAGTTCTCCCTTGCCTACTCGACACCCACTCTAAAACCATTTCAGATGTAGAGCTATTTCTGTCGTGTGTGTGCGTGTGTGTGTTACCTCTCTCCCCATCAGCTATCCAGAGAAATAACCAACAGAACTAAGTGCTGCGACTGCTCTTGCCCCAGTTAACCATAAGCACTTGGTTCTGTGCTTCCTACACAGCACATGCTTTTTGTATTGCTCCTTTATTCATGAGCATAACTGGGGGATGCGAGAAAATACAACCTGTATTTAACATGCAAAACTTCAAATTTTATTTAGCCAGTCCTAATCATTGAGAAACCAAGAGAACTCTGCCCCCATCCCAGAGTTTACAAAAAGATGTAGGGTTTTGGAGAAGGTAAGGGAAAGCTTACTACAGTTTGCCTGCCACATGTGCCAGTCTTCTACTGAGTTTCCTGCACCCGCTTTACTTGCCAATTCATTACTGGGAAGTGGGAGTGAAGCATGATTTCATCTCTAGTTCCTGACATAGGTCTGCGATTTCTTTGAAGAACATCATTAATCTATCACCTCAAAGCAAAACGGACACCCCTAAAAGTGAACTTTAGTAGTTCTTTATCTAGAGGAATTCATGATCCGATCACACAGTGATAGTCTGAGCATGGTGATAGAGAGGTACTTAAGGATAGAGTATCTCCCCAGGGAAGGACACCCCCACTCTTGTCTGAAGAGAAATAAACAGAATGCCAATCACTCAGAGGGCCAGGAGGATGTAAACTTACAAGCAAACCAAGCCATGAGAAATTTCAACTTTTGAACACTCCCATCAAAGCAACAGGAAAAGTTACTGTTAGAAATTTGACTCCTCCTCACTTTAATTCTTTTCGCTAGCATAGTTACTACATGATAATCTAACATGAAATAAACTTGGGTCAAGGGTGGCAACGTAGTAATTAAATTCTTTAAAAAAAGAAAGATTTTTTTAGAGTGGGAGAGAGTGAGCAAGCAAGCAGGGGGAGAGGCAGAGGGAAAGAATCTCAAGCAGATTCTACACTGAGCATGAAGCCCAACACGGGGCTCAACCTCATGACCCTGAGATAATAACCTGAGCCAAAACCAAGAGTTGGACGCTCAATATACTGAACCACCCAAGCACCCCAGTATAGCATTTAAATTCTAACATATGCACAGCTGAATCATTTTAGGAACGTATGGCTCCCTAGCTTGCAGCAAGCAGACCAGATTGAAGATCTTGGCCTAAGATGATTTTCTATTGTCTAGTCTTTTATTTTTCCTGGATTTTGTTGTTGTTGTTGTTTCATAATTTTCCTACAAAGGACTGTGACGTAAAGGCAAGTTGAAAAAAATCATTGATTATCTTTTATTATTATTATTCTGGTAAAAAGAAAATCTTTAAAATTACTGAGACAAATCACAGACATGGGTAAATCTTACATTAGATATCTGGAGCCAAAAGCCACTTTTTAAATGAATTGATTTATATATAAATCATGGTATCTAAACCGACCAGGATGTTGGCTAGCTTACAGGGAAATAGAATATGAGTGGGCAACCAGATGAAAATAATACTTAAATATTATTTAATTATTAATTATTAAATATTTAAAGCCATACATATATAATGATACTGGTATAGTCTCTAATTCTGCTTAAGAATTTAAATTGGGGGGCACCTGAGTGGCTCAGTGGGTTAAGCCTCTGCCTTCAGCTCAGGTCATGATCCCAGGGTCCTGGGATCGAGCCCCACATCGGGCTCTCTGCTCAGCAGGGAGCCTGCTTCCCCCTCTCTCTCTGCCTGTTGCTCTGCCTACTTGTGATCTCTGTCAAATAAATAAAATCTTTAAAAAAAAATTTAAATTGGTATGAATTCCTTTTGGAAGGAAATCTGGCAATTTGGACATAAGAATATTTATATCCAAATATTCATGACCTAACATCTCATTTCTAAAATTTATTCTTAGTAAATTATCTGAATGGAAACATTATATGCTGAAAGACATTTCTCTATCCTTTTATTTATCACAAGTTAACACAGATGAAAATCAGAAACAAAACAATACAGATATCTGCAGTGGAGTTAAGTGAATTAAGGTACAACAACCATAGGAAATAAACAGCCATTAAAATAATTACTAAAAGTAAGTTGGGCTAAATTACAAAGATTTGAAGTTTAAGTCTTAGATCTAACTTAGGTTACTTTCATTTTGGTTTCAAACAAACAGTACAATGAATGTCTGTATAGTCAGTGGAAGTGGATGTGGCTCCCTGTTGCCTCTCTGGCTCCTCCCAGACTTGTCCTCTGAAGTTCTGAGATCAATGTAAAGAATCTGCCAGAAGAGCCCTGAACTCTGCCTTGGGGAGGGTCCACGTTAGCATTCAAAGTTCAAACCCATTTCTAAGAAAAATTTATTTTATTACTTCATAAGAAAACACTTCATCATTCTTTTTCCTACTGCATCATTACACCAACAGCAAGCCTGGCCACAGTCCACTGGAAACATGGAAAATACCATGAACTTGACAGTGCAGGGAACATCAATTACAAAATATTATCTATGACATCAGGTTATAGGAGAATAAATGGAAATATGGAAAACTGGGGGAAGAAGGAAATCTATTATGATTGTTTCATTTTTGAATTTATAGTTGTGATAACATCACTTCGACAAGATGGGAGCAACTCAAAGACAACTAATCTGGGTCTCTTTTTCCATTGTTTTGTTTCAACTCTAGGTTCTTTCCTATAGTAAAGGCAAACATTAGAGTGAAACTTATTAGCCACTCTCCTGCTTTCACTGGCCCTGAAAGGAAGGGAAATCTTGCCTTTGAATTATAAGACTTCTCTATTACGCTGTTCCTTCATATTGCCCCAAAGGCCTCAAAACTCCAGGGCCGTCACTACACCACCCCTCTTCTCAGGAGTCTGACCGTGCCTGCCTCTGTTCACTGCTGGGGAGTCCCCCCCCCCCACACACAAGAAGTCACGCTCCGCCCCATGAATGGTTTGCCTGCCTCTCTCTGTTTGACAGCAACAGCCTTGGCATATAGTAGAGCTTTATACCAGAGAATGACTTGACAAATGGTTTATATTCCATCTCTATGGAAGTCAGAATATGACCTATTTGAAGAGTATAGAGCAATACAGAAGTGGGACTCAGAGAAGAGGGTAAACAGAGGCCATTAGAAGGGGTGTACAGTTGATAGTGATGGGGGAGTGCAGAAGAGAGAGGCGAGGGCAGACCGCAACCAGTCTGTTGCACAGTATTCCAGATCTTCTAATTTTGTTTCCTTACTTTTCTCTATAAAACTTCCACTAACCAGGAAATCTCGTGTCTCTGTTCTTCTCAACATGAAAAGTCCCAACAGAAGAATGTTCTAAGAGTACTGATCCTGATTCTGAATCTATAAAAATCCCACAGGTCCTCAAATGAATGGATCACAATGGTCCTACAGCTCCACTCTTCCAACAAGATTTTTTCAAATATTGAAAATATGGTATAAAATATTAAGATAACTTTTCCCCCATATAGTCACTGTGGGAGATGCTACCCTTATTCCACTATGCCATACTCTGTTGCTCATATATTTTCTGGAATTCCTTTGGAATCATATTTAGAATCTGCTTCTTTGTCACTCAAGAAAACCAACATTTTTTTCTTTCTTTCATTTTCTACTTTGGGCTCTCTTCCTTTCTTTTTCTTCTTGCCATTATGAGCCAATCATATGAGGAACCTTGAAGTACTGGGTGAAAAGGAGAGACTGAACCAAATGGGATGGAGGCGGGGAAACATCAAAGTAATAGTAACAAGTTCAGCCTCGTAAGTTCTGTTTGTCGCGGGCTCCAGAGCCCTGAGAAACATGGGATGCTCTTCCATGCGGCGGTGCTGCAGGCACACCGCTCCCATCAGTGGTACTTAAGTTGAAAGCCACTTGTAAGCTCTTAAATGATGTCTAATACCTGACACAATGTATATTTGTTAAATGAGTAAATAAATGAAACACTTAATTCAATAGAGTCAATTTTGCTGATTGCTACTGATTTCCTAAGTTAGTATCATTTAAGAGCCATTTAATAATTAAAAACATTTTTTCAAAGATAATACTTTAGTAAATGAAATTAATAATACAGTTTATCCTGAGGCAAGGTTAGGATTGGCTCTTGTGTGATGATGTTATGATAAGGATCTCATGATGGTGAATTAGACTGTCCTTCTCAAGTTCGAATTGAAGTCAGAGACCCGAGATTTTCCCACCCCTCAGGCTTTGCTCTCCTCCCTGTCTTCTTTAACTCTCCTGCATTTCTTGGGGACCCTTCTCCAGTAAGGACACAGTACCTCTCTCTTTCCCCTTCCTGCTCTCGGGCTTCATAGGCCAGTATAGTTAGTACATTTTACACATAAATAATGTTCCATGTTTTTTAAGCAAAACATAAAAATAACTTTATTAATTTTAAGCTGATCTTTGGTCATCTGATACCAATCTCTCCACAATACTGTATTAGAGAAGGCATGTATTTGCCCCTTGAAATTTTTAAATTTTAAGAATTTATCTCATCTGAATTTAAAAAGTTACTGCCTGTGGTGAGATCAGACAGACATACTTCCTTACATAAGCATCATGAAATCTGTCTGTGTCATCCCAAGCTGTGAGAACTTCACAACAGTGCTCTTGGTTTATTTCCACTGCGAGAGTTCCCGCACAGTATCCCCGCATGCGTTTTTATTTGCAGGTGCGTGGGAATGAATGCAGCTGATTTATCTTGGTTGGTTATCCAACCATGCAAACAATGGTATAATTTGTTTCTTGGATTCTTTTCAATCCATTCTACAGCTGCCTTCCATCAAGTGTGAGTTCTATGGCTTCTTTCTGAAAGCCATGCTCCCAGCAGAAATGTCCTTGAGTAGCAGTAAATCTTCACTCGAGGAAGTTGACTAATATTTGTATGGAGTTTTACCGTACACAAAACACCCTAATCTACATTAACTCATTTAATCCCCATAATAATCCAAAGCAACAGCATCGATGGTTTCATTTTGGGTATGTGACAAAATGCATTGACTTTCCCAAGATTACACAGAAGGGGTAGCATTTGAAACCCAGTCTTCTCTGTTTCTTTCTCC